ATTTATTTATTTTTCTGTTTTTCGGAGTAATTTTTTCCCTGTTTTTCGGGTGTGGGGGGGGGTTCTGTTTTTTTGGAGTATCTCCCAGTGTCTCAAACCCAAAACAAAGTAAAACTGGATTAAACTAAACAAGCAGGTCATGTTTGCTTTCATTATATTGAGCTCTCAAGAAAGGAATGAAAGCATCTTCTGTTCTATTGCTCTCTTAACTCAGAAAAAAATACTCAGAAAAACAAACAAAAAAATACCACGAAAAACAGAAAAAAAATTACCACAAAAAACAGAGAAAAAAAATTACCACGAAAAACAGAAAAAATTACTCAATAAAACAGATTTTTCTTTATTTACCAAGTGAATGCAATACACTTCCATACTACAGATATGTAAAATGTGTATGTGTATTTAAAGAAGAAGCAATTCAGGCCTCTTGTGTGCAGTGTATCTGCTTATTTGCTATCAATCTGATGTTTCCTGCCATCAGCTGCACCAAGTTATGAGGACTGATAGCACTGTGCACAGGGCATGTGCTTTTGAATGTGTATGTTTCATATTTAGCATTTGAAACCTCAGATTTCTTTACATTTCAACAACGCTGTGGTTAATGTGTGATTATGTTTAGTCACAAAAACCATTTGGTTATGGTTAGGAAAAGATCACGTTAAATACCCGTCTTTGGTGGCACAATCATGGCTAGAAATTGTTGGTCTTGAACAGAGGTCTGCAACTTGGCAGCTGTCTCGTCTAGTTGTCACTATGCCACTGATTCTCAAATGGTGTGCCGCGATGCCAGTCCAGGTGTGCCGTGGGACTTTGTGATAACCACACATCATCACTGCAATATTCAACTGGGGTGAACACAAAAAGTTGTGAATGGATTTTAATTGACTGTATCAGTATGTTGTGTGCAGCCATTTCCTAATAAAGAGGCAAACTCTAGCCAAAAAATGTGATTTAATTTAATTTAATTTAAAAAAAGCATTCACAGGGAACCTATTTGTCACCTTTCACGCATGGGAATTATTAGTGTGTGACACATCAAAAGCCCTGATTGGCAGTCAGTGTGAGGGATGAGAACGACTAAAATGAGAAAGCCATGAGTGGAGCAATGGATCGCTTTATTGTACGGAGCAAATTACCACACAGCACCAGTGAAGATGACCTGCTACGGAAAGTAGACAGCATCACGAAAGCTACCGGTCTTATTTTTCCTTACTTTTACTGTCTTATGTCCTGATAAGAGTGATAACACACGTTACAGAAGCCACTGTGCACAGATATAAATACAGGTGTGCCTTGAGATTCTGGCTCGCTCTTTGGCGTACCTTGGACACAACAAATTTGTAAACGACCACACTATGCCATACACCATCCTCTCTACATCTGTTATTTTTGGAAACATTGATTGTTATAAGATGTAAAAATGTAACACATCAGTGATTTGCAGTAACATACAGAGCAAACTTTTTTCAAACCAGACCAGTTGTGATGTCCCCAGATCAGCCTGTCAAAGTCAAAATAAAAACAGTACTTCATAGGAATATATGACATCAAGCATCAAAAATGATGCATGAATCACAAAGTTAAAAACAGTAGCGGCTGAAAACTCTGACTGAGAAAACTACATCTAGCAAGTTAAGCAAATTGGAAAGTTAATCCATGTGAGAAGGATGCCTCCATATGAGATAAGTAAATATGAGGAAGCTTAGTCAGCAGAAGTGCGACTTACAGCTGGAGTTGGAAATGGCAGCACGTATGGGGAGATATAGGTGTTACTGCACAGATTAGAGGTTAGAGTGTTGACAAATAATCTAACACAGGCTATAGCAGGACAGAGCATGTCAAAGCTAAAGGCCAAAGCAGGTACAGAAAACATGATCATCTTAATGTACAGGGTATCACCGCCCTGTCTGCTGTACTACTCCTGACCAAAAACCAATTGCCTTCACACAGTGACTGAAGCATCGTCTGTTTGAGGACGCTGCACAAGACAACCTGGTGAAGGTCGACGCCTCTAAGCAGGCTAAAGCTCACGTCCCGTGAGAACTGGGAGTTTTCATTCAATTTACAGTACTGTGCTCATCTGAGCCTCGAGGGCCTCTGAGCAGTGATGAAGGTGTTTGATTTAATCCCGAGGATCCTGCAGGCCTGATGCTGAAGTATTACTAACAGTATCTCTTCATATGTTGCACACTTGGTTGTGATTTATGATTTTTCAGACTTGGGTTTAAAATGAAAGGGGAAACAATTTTGGATAAATGTGTGTAAAAGTGTCAAATTAAAAAAGATTTGCATGCTCTCTGTTGGTAAAAGCAACTTCAGTTACCTTGCTGGTGCCAAACTCTTATAAGTTAGTTTTCATGGGAGTGGAGTGGACTCTCAAGAAGATACATGACTCTTTTATGAATGATATCAGAGTGCAGCTACTGTAATTGAACAAGCGTGTGCACTTTCAGTGGTTTTTCCGCAAGAACTTGGATGAGGAATAAATATTTTAATTTCTGTGATACTGAGTTGGTGATGATTTACATATTCTCTCAAACTTCAAAAACTGGACTCTGATGTATAAATGAATCACATTTCCTTCTGTGTTTCAGTATTCTGATCGACAGTCGAGCTAGGAACCTGCAGTCCTGGCGCTTCAATACAATTTAGACTAAAAAGCCTGAATATCTGAGTCTTTGAAGATATTTAGCAAACCAAATTTTAAAACTTTTATTTCGTCCTCGCAACAGAATGAGTTTGTAAATGATTCAGTAATTCGTCACTGTCCAGTAAAGTTTGATCAGTTCCTCATTAGATTTAATTCACCAGATTTTGTTCCCCTTTCCTGTGACGATTCTGAGAAGCTGATCAAAAGCCTTGTATGGTCTGACAGTCATGAATAAACATCTTTTGACAGAGAAAATATCCATCGCACACACACAAGAAAAGTTTTCTGAACTGTTCATGCTCAAGGGTATCCTGTAATTTTTCTACTTTGAACATGTGTGACTGTGCAAGGGCTTTATAGTAAGGCTTGTGTTTTAATCTTGATAAAGTTTTTCCTTTACAGTTGTGAATTTGCAGCGATGTTATCAACCTTTATAATTCTACAAACCTACACACTCACACACACTCCTCTGTTGTTGTTTAAGAGCTCTCAGTGGTGACAGATATAGTTATGCTGTGTGTCTTCTACCCACTCTCATGCTATATATTGAAGCTGAAATGGGGGTGGGTTTGACTCTTTAGGAAGTGAAGAATTTTTTCCAGCAACCCACACTGAAAGAGCAACACACACTCATTCTATAGGGGGTGGGAAGGGTCAGGAAGGATATGACACATGTACATTAGCTTGTGTGATTATTTACTAAAAGTCACATGTGTGTGTATTAATGTGTGTCTGCGTGATTAGTATACAACTCAGCAATATTGTGCACGTGACTCCTCACAGAACAGACATGAGTGTATATCCTGCGACTGCACATGCCTGCTCATATGTGACTCAGACCCCTGACAATCTCTGCTGACATTACTGTCTTGAAAAGGCTGTCACATGAAGAAAATGGTACGCTGTCAAAGTTAGGCTAAATGTTGGTGGGGGAAAAGCTGGCATGGCCATTTCCCAACCACAGTAGCATTGTTCTGGTGGTCCATTTTATGTCCTGTTGTGCTGACCAGAGTTATAACTGACCTAGTCTCTATATACAGACTCTACATTCAGTGAATGTAGAGTCTGTAGGCAAACCCCGGAGATCTTGCCTCCAGAAGAAGAGCAGAAGAGCCCTGGTTTCCGGTTGTAGGCTGTTTGTAGTCCATATGATACTGACAATCACGTTTGAGCCGGCTGCAGTTGTTGCCAGGTTAAAAGGTCCATGCGGTGAACTAATGAGGTGGAACATAAATGGCGTCACTGCAAACTCTGAATCCATCGCAATAGTTCAGCATATTTACTTTTATATAAACGGAAGTCAGAAACGGAAATTAACCTCCTCCGCCCAAATCAAACCAGAATGCCAAAAAATCGGGGGTCTGCTCCCAGAGGCTGTATCGCCGTCTGCTGGAAGTCAGACGCCGAATACAGCCGATGGGTTCCGAGAATGTAACTGACCAGTCTGAAGTGCATTGAGGTCTGTGTGGTTATACTGCAGCAGCCTGGTGTTGTTTTTAGGCAATTTAATGACAGCAAACAGTGAACTGTGTGCGTAACATCACTGCGTTCACAGCACTCCTTAAAAGCTTAACCAGTCCTGCTGCCTTTAGACACTGCAGTGACTTCATGTGCTGAAGGAGAAGCTTAAATCTGGAGCATTATTTAGCACCCTTCCCAACAAGCTAGCATGACATGGTTGGTCCATAGCTTGAAAAATCAATGCACCACAATCTCTTGAAGACAGTAATGTTGTAATCTTGGCCAACATGCAACTGAGACCCACTGGACCTCCATCAATATTGGCTCAAGACTGATGGAGGCCACGTGTGTGTGTCTGCATGGCCGCATTAGTACTAATCACAAACAGACACACATATACACGTGAGACTTTGAGTAAATAATCACACCTCCTCTGGAGAAAAAAACAAAAACACCTGATTAAGCTACAAGTGGCCGTTTTATCAAAAGGTTTACTGGTGTGTGTGTGTGTGTGTGTGTGTGTGTGTGTGTGTGTGTGTAACCATTAGAACCAGGATGCAGGGGAATTATAACACCACCGTAGATTTGTTGGTTTAATAAGAAAACCGGCCGAGCTTAATAGTTCAATTCCCAGCCCTGCTCTGAATTTAATGTTGTTTGTTTTACTTTTGCTTTAACATGTCACTTAATTACATGTGTAAATGAGTTCTTGCAAACTCACCTATCACTTCGTGTATTCTACAGAATACAACAGAAATGTTTTTTGTTTTGTTTTTTTTTTACAGATGGTCTCTGTTTTGTCGTTATTTGTTTCGTCCATGTATTGTGTAACTAAGTAAGGCCTGAAGGAGAAATGCATTATGAGAAGTGAAGCCAAGAGACTACTTACCAAGTCCTAAGCAAGATACTCTCAGTCCTGACTTCCCAAGGTTCCTGCAAAAACAGAAGGAAAAAGGGATTACATGTCTCGTCCTAGAGCTGCAGCTAATGGCTGTTTTCATTGTCATTTAATAAGCGAGTTATTTTCTTGATCAAACGCTTGATCAGTTGTTTTGTCGATAAAATATCGGAATATGATGAAAAATGTCATAAAAGGAGTAAAGAAAGTAGAAAACATTTACATTTAAGAAACTGGTATTTAACTTTTTTCGTCTTTAAAAAGTTGCTCAGTCTGATTCATTGATTATCAGATTAGTTGACGATTAATTTAACAGTTGACACAATTAACCAAACGATTAATCGATTCATCGTTGCAGTTCTATCTTGCAGATGCAAAATCAAATGCATGTATTCAACAAACTAAGTCAAAGGATCTTAAAATTAACGTAGTCGATCAGTATTGATGGTTTTGGATCGTATATGGTGACATGGACGATATTCAAAGAATAAAACCACCCCATTACAAACTCTACTTCAGTCCTATTCAGAATTGGATTTCGTTGGCCATTTCAATCTGTGATAGATTAAAAAATGTGCTACATGATGTAAAGGAGACAGACAAGTTAATAATAAGAAGGCCTTCCATTTTCCTAAGAGGCTGGATGCGGCTTCGCTCCAGATAATCACATGACAGGTTGACAGTCCTTCTGATTTCTCCACAGGAAATTGAATTTCACCTTCCCGGACTTTAAAGTAGATGCTCTCACACTGTCAACCTCCCATCATGTGTAAACAGGTATGTATGTATGTATGTATGTATGTATGTATGTATGTATGTATGTATGTATGAGAAAGCCATTTAACGTTAGTTTCCTGTCAGAACAAACACCCAGTGATAGAAAGATAGTGAGAGGGAAACAGGATGAGAGAAAAAAACACTGATCGAACACTAATCAAAACAACAACAAAAATATTAATGAAAAGAAAGTTACAACTTGTTTACTGCAGCACAGTGATGAAGTGTGTTAATGTGTTAATGTGTGTGTGTGTGTGTGTGTGTACTACCAACATTGAATGCATCTTATTAGCTCAATCGCCTAATTAGCTGTGTCATTAAAACCACACACAATCTCTGCTTAACATTAGACTTTCTTGGAGTATGCAGTATTTACATGCATCCCTAGATATTTAAATTAATTAGTCTGTCCTTCTACAAAGCCACACCTGCATTTGCAACCTCATTAACCCACAAAAATCAACTCCGTTAATTGCCCTTTTACCCTGTTCAGCTGCAGATCCCCTCTGGAATGAATAAATAAATAATAATTAGGATTATAATTATGACCTGTATTATTGTAGCTGATGTGGCTCGCATGTCAGTACATGGTATTAGACATCTAAAGGACACAAGTAACATCAACGTTCGTTTTGAGTAGGCGTGGGACGTATCACTGTATCACAGGATACCAAGGTATTTAGAAATCCTGCTGGTATGTTTTTCTGTACTACTGTCAAAAATACACAGTCTTCTTTGTACTAATATGTAGTACACATTACGCACCACCAGAGGTCAGACTGGTGGGGATAATGTTACAGGACTGCAAACAGCCAGGCAGCAATGGCACAGAGACTGCAGGGTCTATTTCTACATCTAACTCTGCGAATTAAGTTTTTTTTTTTCCACCAAACTGGAGCTGGCGATTGTTGGAACAGTAGACTGACTAACTATACAAGTAACGAGGCTAACTAAAATGGTTTTGGTGAGTTTTATTTTGTTTCTGTCGAGTTTGAATGAAGTGTTTTATGATGAGTTAACAAGGCAATTAAGGAAGCTCTAGTTTGGTGAAAAAGAAGGGGTTTGGTCGAGATCGCTGCACATAAATAGCATCATATACTGTAGGCTATACCCCAGTGAAATTTCAGGAAGGAATAAAAAACATACGAACTGCCCAAGCCTAATTTGGCGTCAAGTTTTTGTCCACTAAACATTCTGCTTCTAGTTTCGTTTTGTTGCTCCTGAGGTAAATATCTGGCCTTTTATCTAAGATATACTCCACTGTGTTTACCAGCTAGTTGCTAACTTTGTCTTTCTGTCATTTGGTGTTAGACAGGTAGTACACAGTTAGGTTTGAAGAGCTTTTATGCCCAAAACAGCCACCTGCTGCACCTGAAAAAGGTTGCTGAAGATGGCAGTAGAGTGAACCAAAACAATACAAGCTGTGGGTCGTACAAAAGAAAAAAGGCAAAACAATGAGATGAAAGGTGCTTGACTTAGCAAAGAGAAAGGCATAGGCTCACTCTCAGATTACAATTATACAGCAGAAGTCCTTCCTGTCTGTTCCACTACTGTGGGCGGACTGGCAGATCCCTGCCATGTCCGATCAAGCATGAGGAACAGTTATTGTCCTGTCATGTCAGCTTCCTGTGAGGGCATCCATAGACTGATGACTAAACCATTGCTATGACACACACACACACACACACACACACACACATTTAAAGCAGATGAGTTTTGAGCAGGTGCAAGGCCAGAACCAACGCTCCAATTCATCAGCTTGTGGGGAGTACAGGTGGCACAGTTTAGAATATGTTAGGTCGGCACTTTCCGACTTGCTCAGGAACCTTATTTAGGGAGGAAACTTGAGCATTGATCTCAAATTAAAAGCCCAAGTCATCATTTTTATTTTAAACTTTCTATATTTATCGCACTTTAAAACGTGGAGAGTACAAGAAACTTCTGTGATCCACACTGTGAACACCTTGAAGAAAAACAGGTTATGAACTTATGTCACAGTTAAGGTTTGAAACAACTCATAAAACAAGTAAAGCAGGATGCACACAATGCAGAAATTACTTTTTTTTCAGGACAAAATGCCCAACACTAAACATCATATTTGTTTCTCTAATCTTATGGGGTACAGTACATGTTGTTCTGTTTCCAGAAAGCCAACATCAGCAGAACTTCAAATACCAGATCCAATAGGTCACTCATTGCAAGTTCATATGGAGGTCTGCCTTCACATAAAACAATGGAAAAGTACAGACTCATTCAGCTTTAAAACCATCGCTAACTCTATATAAGTAATTTAATCTCTCACATTTTAAGTCTCTGTAAGGTTTGTATTAAAAGCACAAGCCTGGCCTCATTGAAAGCAGCAGATTTACAGGCTCAACCTTGTGTATTGATTGAAGAGTACATTATTCACAGCTGTCAGCGATCTTTCATTTTCGCTCACCTGTCAGAACCATTTTAGTTATTCATTGCTGACATGTCACCTCTGTATCCTTCAATATCAGAATAGGTAATTGGGCATACAAATCAAGCCACCCTCAGAAAATCAATTCTGGATGATGCATTAGATTCTCTGTAACCTACAAAATATCCAAGGACGCTGAGCTTTTTGGACAAGATGCCCTTGAACAACAACTAACAAGAGTTACTTTATTTACAAACAACACTAAGAGAGGATTATCTATGAATATAGTTAAGCCTTGTTTTGAAAATGTGCTTTATCCCATTGACACAATGGTTCTGGCTTTGATTTCTACAGCTGTTTTTTCTGGTTTGGACCCAGGGGTGGTGGGCCCTTCTCTATGGAGTTTGCATGTTCTCCCTGTGTTAGCATGGGTTTTCTCAGGGTACTCCGGCTTCCTCCCACAGTCCAAAGACATGCAGGTTAGGTAAATTGGTGACTCTTGTCTGTCTATGTGTCAGCCCTGTGATAGTCTGGCGACCTGTCCAGGGTGTACCCCGCCTCTCACCCAGTGTCAGTGAGGACAGGATCCAGCCTCCCTGCAACCCCGAACAGGATAAGCGGTTACGGAAAATGAATGAATGAATTATTTCTATGTGAAATCTGCATGTTCCCTAATATTAATGTGGGCTCCTTCAACAGTATAGGTTGTAAGTGAGTGGAAGGCAGCTGAGGGGGAACACCACCTAAATTAAGAATTTCAATATATTTCCCTGGCCTACGAATGTTTAATCAATATTTGTGAACATGAACTACTCTCTCTCAGAGCCAGAAACCACAGAGGTAAGTCTCAAACTTGTGAAGTCTGGAGCTGCTCCAACGACAATGAATGGAAGCCTGACTTTGTGGACCCACAGAATGTTAGTGTTCTTTTTTTATAACCAAATTAGCAAAGAGTAAATGTTCCAATATAATCCGAACATTTCCCTGTGAGTACTTGGTGTCATCTACAACATCTTTCACCATTCACTGTCTGTGGAGCAGCTCCAGACTTTATACCTGATGACATCACAAATTTGAGTTTCAGCACTAGTTTTTGGATTTGTGAGAGAGTTGTGCATGTTTTCTGTTGTTTTTTGGAGTGTCTTAGACCAGTGGTTCCCAAAAATAGTGGGTCGTGGGACTGCAAGTGCCTCACGAACGTGTCAAGTTTATTTTTAAGTACAGTGAATTTCCAGCACAGAACTTTAATTTTGAAGTGCCGTTTCTTGCTGTAGATTGAGTGAATAATGAACAGCTACTTAACAGAGACAGCAAACTAGCTTGAGACATGGCCAAACACAAGTATGACACTGAATATATTAAACTGTGTGGACCTTGAACTAATGACTAAGGAGAAGTCTGGACCCCGTGGCTGGACCAGTTGTGAACCACTGTCTTAGACTGTAGAAATGAAACTCAGCGCAAGACTTTCTTTGTCAGTGGACCAGGACAAGTTCAACAAAGGCTCATTCCACTACTCATCCAGATCATCAGCACATCTACATCCTCTCCACATCTTCTTCACATCTCATCCTCATCACCTTTACCATCGCCAGTGTCTAGACCCTAGTGGGGTTCCCCATTCAACTATAGATTCATCACCGTCTCAATGGGGTCTATTTACCAAAGACTTTTTACAACTTTAAAACAACTTTCTATAAAAACAAGTTTCTCCTGACTGAAATAACATGTAGGCCTATGTAATTTGGAAATGGGCATAGTTCACCTTTAAGTGTTTACATGAATGAATATGAGTATGTTCATGTGTAATCTTGCAGTTTGTCACTAAATATTCGCAGGATCAGGCTCAAGCCCTTC